CATTACTGTCGTCGGGTTCTTGAAGCTCTTGTCGCGCTGGGGTTAAAACTACGTCCGATAAAATATTTATTCCTTCTTCTTTTTCTGGTGGTTTTTCTTTTTCCTGTTCTGGTGGTTTTTTGCAGGCTGCAAGTTTCCGTATTGCTTCGTCTAAGCGGTGGTCAAGGTCTTGAAGGTCTTCATCGGAAATTTCTGGGATTTCTTTTTTGTTCGCCAAGTCCGCGAAGATTTCGGGAAAGTCCTCTTCGAGTCGGTTGCTTGGTAAATCGATGTTTGCAATCATTGATTGATTTTCCAGGGGATGGAGTTCTATCCTGGATAAGGCATCTGCGACGGAATTATTTTTCCCTTTCCTGTACACGATGTCATAATCATACTCTTCCAGCTTTAGGCGCCATCTAACCAACCTTGAGCTAGGATCTTTGAGATTGAAAAGCCATTGTAAGGGTTTATGATCAGTCAGGATTGTAAATTTGTTTCCGAATAAATATGGCCTAAAGTATTTGGTGAAATTTACTATCGATAATAATTCCTTTTCTATCGTCGAGTAGTTTTGTTCAGAGGGGTTTAGCGTTCTGGACGCGTACGCGATAGGTTTGTCTTTTCCTATAACACCCTGTGACAAGACTGCGCCGATGGCTACGTTAGATGCATCGGTGGTTAGTATAAAGGGTTTATTAAAGTCGGGATACTGGAGTAGGGGTTCGTTTGTGAGTACTTGTTTACAGGTCTCGAAAGTTTCTAAAAATTCCGAAGTATGAATTATTTTTTCGCCTTTTTTTAAACATCGCGTGAATGGTTTGGTGAGCTCGGCAAAATTTTTTATGAATTTTCGGTAATACCCTAATAGGCCAAGAAAAGATTTAATTTCTCTAGCAGTAGTTGGTATGGGAAAATTTCGAATGGCTTTTATTTTATTGGGGTTAGGTTTGATGCCATCAGGAGTGACAACATGGCCTAGAAATTCGACGTTTTGTTTTAAGAACTCACACTTGTCTAATTGGATTTTCAACTTAGCTTCGCGTAGCGTCTTGAAGACTTGTTTTAAGTTGGCTATATGCTCTTGCAAAGAAGTTGAGAAAACGATGATATCATCCATGTAAACTAGACAAATTTTATTCCGCAAATTTTTGAGGATATGGTCCATTATTCTTTGGAAGGTTGCTGGCGCGTTCTTTAGGCCGAATGGCATACGGACATACTCGTAGTGCCCGTGCTCCACGTTGAAGGCCGTTTTTTCGATGGACTTTTCTTCCATTTCAATCTGGTGGAACCCGGATGCCAGGTCAAGGGTAGTGAAATAGTTGCATTTCCCCAATTTGTCTAGGATGTCTTCTATGTTCGGAATCGGGTATCGGTCGTCGATTGTTTTTTCATTCAACTTCCGGTAGTCTACTACGATGCGCCATTTCTTCTTTCCTGATGCGTCGGTCTTCTTTGGCACAATCCATATCGGGCTACTCCAAGCAGAAGATGATGGTCGAATGATTCCGTCGGTGAGCATCTTCTGAATTTGCTTCTGGACTTCCTCCTTGTGGCAATGGGGGAAGCGATAGGATTTTGTATGTACCGGTATCTCATCCTTGGTCTTTATTTCGTGTTTAATTTTATTAGTGAATGAAAGTTTGTCATTTTCGGTGTGGAATATGTCCGCGAATTCTTTATAGAGTTTTAAAATGGCATGTTTTTCTTCTGGATTCATGTGGTCTGTTTTAATTTTTTTTGAAATGTCTTTTGTCGAATCATAATATTCGATGTTCGGTAAAGCGCTCTCGATATGGTAAAATTCAAAATATTCTTTTTCAATTCGGATAGCTTGAAAGGGTTCGTTCATCGTGACAGAGATTGTCCTATCAGTATTGTTGAAAATTTCGAAAGTAGCGCGATAGTTTGAAGCGCAAGTCAAAGTTTCCGGTATAAATAATCCATTGAAATTTTTATTAGTAATTATAATTTCGCCTTCATTAATAGTGACGGGATATTTTCGAACCAAACTTTCGAAAGGCGGTATTTCGAAAGTGAAGGAAGTTTCGTGAGGTTGTCTATAGAAGAATGGTATTTGTACGTGGTCGTTGCGAAGTAGCTGATTTGTAAAATCGATATTCAAACCTAGGTTTTTCAGTTCTTTCAATCCTAGAATACCGTCAAAAAATTCGTGAAATTGAAATAACACATACTCGGTCTCATAACAACTCTGGAATTCTTCAAAAGCGGGGATAAGGGCTCTAAACTGAATTTCTTTTTCGCCTAAGGAAGTTTTTAGTTGGGACGGTTGCCTAAAAATTCTATCAGGATAATATTTTTCGATGATCGATGGCTTGAGAATTGAGGTGTGACATCCTGTATCAATCAATAGTTTAATCGGGGGATTACGAATTTTTATGTATGGGAGTCCGTTGACTGTGGCAGAATGAAGTTCTATCACATTGTCTGGTTCTTTGGAGGCGATTTGTAAAAATTTTCATTTTCAGATTCGTGGGCGTAATTGTTCGGTTCATCTGATTGTTCAGGGCATTGGTCGGTATAAGAATTATCTTGATAGTGTTCAGGATAGAGTTCTTGCATAGTGTCAATTTGGTCATAGGTGTGATAGTCGTTCTGGTAATTATTCGGGTAATAGTCATGCGCGGAATCAAATTGATCGTAGCTGTGATTGTACATTTCCTCGTCGATGGGTGTCCATCTTCGTGGTTGCGATTGGGCCGGATTGGTGAATGAATGGGACATGGGTCTGCTAACCGTTGGGTTTCTAGATGTAGTGGACATCGGTTCGAAAGTCCTTTGATCGGGTTTGCCTGTCGGTTTAAAAACATTTCGTGGCGGGCCAAACACTTGTCTGTTGGTTGGGAATGTTTGCCTCACTGGTCTCGGTTGGACATTTATAGGTTGGCTGGGAAATGATGGTCTAAAATTATTTTGGCTGTAATTTGGGAACTGATTTTGCGTTCTAGCGATGTTGGAAGGTTGATTTCGGAAACCCTGGGTTTGATTTTGGTTCCTTGTCATTTGAGTTGGGGCCATTGGCTGAGAGTTTGGAAAGCTATAGTTTGAATGAAAGTTATTTCGAGTTTGTTCAATTTGTCTATTAGGTGGTTTGGGCGCATTAGCGTTCGGGCGGTTTTGGAATACTAGGTTCTGAGTGTGTCTGAAGTTCTCGTCCTCCAGGACGAAGTTCATCGCTGCTTCTAGGGAATCAGGATTCTGGACGATAACTTTGTCTTGTAGTCGTACATTCAGATTTCTCAAGAATACTTTGAGGGATTGGGATTCGTATTGTCGAATATGTATCAGTTTAACATCTTGGCCCATGTCGGCGTCAGAGTTTATTTTAAATGCTAATTTACTACGTAGTACTTGGATTCTCTTTGCAAAGTCTAGGGGATGTTCGCCCCTGTTTGGTGTGAGAGTAAACAGTTGTTGTTCGAGGTTGTCAAGGCTTTGGCGGTCGCCAAAAGTATTTCTTAATTCTAATTTTACTTGAGTCCATGTCTTCAATTCGGTTCTTGCTCCGATTAAAAGCTGGGCTCTATCCTTCAGCTTACTCAATAGTATACTCAAAATGCATTGATTTAATGTGGTGTCCGTGCCATGATATTTTTTGTGGAATTGGTCGGCAGCGTTTATGAATATTTCGAGGGTCTCTGACGACCCATCGTATGTTGGAATGGTGTCCGAATAAATTTTGAACAGCGTATAGTTTACCTCCGTCATATTCGAAACTCGCAATGAACTTAAAGTATTTGCTAAACTTTCAATAACGGGATCGGTCATCAAATGTTATTTCGTATGCTTGAATTTTGATGAATTCACTGAAATATCTCACAAAAATATTCTTTGAACGAATAAAACAATTTCTTTCGAGAATTACAAGATAACACCGTGTAATACAAGCTATTCTTTTTCTTATCACCGTCGGTTTTTAAACCGTGTAATATTTCACTCGAACAAACGTCGTCGCCTTCTGAGAATGCAACGAACTCTGACAGTGTCTAGTTTCGAAATGCGATTATATATATTTATTTAATTATCAAGAAATTCGGGTGAGAAATAAAAATTCTTTGGATCAGATCGATAGTTACTAATCTAGTTGACTTCTAAAGTCAGTCCACCGATTTCGATTGCGATAAAAGAAAAATGATGGATAAATTGATATTGATAATCGATATTTGACAAATTCAAGCGAAAATCTTTACGATAAAGTTTTCGGAGAAAATTTGAAAGCAGAAAGGAATACTCGACTTACCACGGTGGTGAATCAGGCTATCCTTAGCTGGAGTCTGCAGCAACTGGGTATGCCGGTCTCTGGTGGGCGATCGAAGCTGTTCTTTCGATAACGGATTAACAGTTGAAACTGACGAATTTCGCGATCGATATTCTCCCGTTATCCTACCGACTGCGCCAATTAAGCTTTCGGGCCACGAGAAACTATTTTTAAAAAGCCAAAATTTTAGTTTCGAACAAATAACTTTATTTGTACAGAGAGATGTGGACGGTACGACGTCGCTAACAGAACTGAAAACTAACTATCTAGCATGGTCAATCGTATTCGTATAAACCTAAGTCAGCACTACATGGAAGTTACAATCTAAGGGTTTTCTGGGGGTTGGAGCATATAACTCGTACGATTGCCGAATAATGTTGCCATTCGCATACCCTGTATGTAATGATTCGGCAAACAATATGTATGTACTTGGTTTTAATTTTTGTGGTAAGATATGTATGTACATTCTTATATTCTATGGGTTAACTGTGATCAAACAACAGCAATAAATGTTCAATGTTATTAATAGAAGAGCCTTGCTTCTTACTATTCTACTTAACTAAAATTCACTCAAGGTGAAAAGATTCTGTGTGTTGACGGAGCAATTCATTATTGTTCAATCTATGACAATTGAATGTTAACCTTAAATCAGTTTGCACTTCCCTCAAGATTTTATTGGTGGTATAAATATAGCTGATTGGTCTTTGCCTCTATTAGTGAATTTTGTATTCATTTCCAGGAAAAATTCAAGAAAGAGTAGACAGAAAACAGGCCTATTTCCACTTGGCAGCATGGAGTCTTCCTTTGATATTTACCATAATCACGATGGCTATCAGTGAGATAGATGGGGATTATGTGACAGGAATTTGTTTTGTAGGATTTGTGAATATGGCTGCTAGAACAGGATTGCTGTTGTTTCCTGTTGTAGCTGCAATTTTGGTATCTGGCTATATAATCGTACGAGGTAAGGTTCCCGTTGAAAATGATTGGAATTGTGTATTTTTTTATTTTTTTTATCGCTTGGAGCGCACGAAAGGGAATCCCTATAATGTTCAAAGAACATCGTGCGCTCCTAGGTAGGATAGGGATAGGAGGTAGGTATTGGATTTTTTTTTTAATTTTTGGAGATTAAATGTTGTTGGGAATACTTCCACAGGCAATGAATTCCAGAGCCTAGCCTTTCTATGGATGAAGGAGTCTTGATAAAGTGTTGTTCGACATCTTTCGAGGTTGACAACGAAAGGATGTGCTGACTGGGCTTGTCTAGTTCGTCTGATTGGTATTGCTAGTGAAGGGATGATAGCAGAGATTTCCGAAGAACATTTCCCGTGGAAGTATCGATAGAAAAGTGAAAGGTCGCCGACCTTTCTACGGTGTTCCAATGATGTCAAATAGTGAGTGAGTGTGGCGTCACCCACCAGGCGAATGACTCTTCTCTGGATGGAATCTAAGAGCATCAGCGTATGTTTTGGTGCTGAACCCCATATGTGGGAACAGTATTCTAGAACAGGCCGTATCTGCGCTTTGTAGATCATGAGAAGCTGTTGAGGTGTAGAGTAGCTTTTCGCACGGAACAAGAATCCGAGTTTTTGTGAAGCAGCTTTTGAGATGGATCTGACATGATCATCTCATGAAAGAGTGTTGGTGATGGAAATACCGAGCATAGATATGGTGGGCTTGGTGGGGATGGTGGAGCCAGACATTACAATATCGGGCATATACTGAGTTCCGCCTTTCTAGAGAAAATGCAGGCTTGAGTTTTGGTGGCGTTGAATTCAACTAGGTTGTTTGTTCTCCAGGCTGTGATTTCAGCAAGATCTTCATTGACAGCATTGACCTGCCTGCGCCGTGAGTTCTTAGTTTCCTGGGAAGAAATGGGATGTACTTCATTTTATACTACCAAAAAACTGGCAATGGGACACGTATGACTGACTCTGGTTCTCATCACAGTGTGCCTGAAGAAATGGAAGTATATGGTGTTAATAAACTGTGGACATCTCAGTTGGTTTTAATGAAATAGTCTATTGTGTCATGAGCGAAGCAAGGACAGTTGGTAGCTAAGGGCTGCTAAAGAAACGAAATTTCCCGTGAAACGTCAAAACATAGGTGTCAAGATTTGCGATAGAAAATCGCCCCACCTGACCGCAGCAACTTGAACACTTCTGAGCGGTTTGTTTTGATGATATAACCAATAAGCACAAACAAAAAACAAATGTGGACCAATGAAAACAAAGTAAACATGCCGCTTTGACAGCTTTTAAGAACTCCGATAGGTGGCGTACGCTTATTTTCTATCGCGAATAGTGAAAAACTACAAAATCGTGTTATGAGTTTAGAAGCCCAAGGGACGATGTACATTACTTTCGGTCATATTTTTAGGGTTGATATTATTTATTTTCATATATGGTAGGCGAAAAAAGTAATTCCTATACATACAATTTTTCTTGTCTATTCAAATGGGTCAAATCTTGAACTCTGAAATTTTATAACTGAAAATATTATTTGATAGTAATGTAATTTTTGTCACTCTATACAAGATTCAATATAAAATCGAAATAATGCAATGATTATTGTCTTTCTTTGAATTCTGTTTTAACATACCATATTCCTTGTTGCTTTGACACACAGTTTTATAATCGATTTTGAATTAGATAATCCAAACATACCTTTCTAAAATAAATACAACCCTGAAACTTGCATCCCGATAATTGAACACATCAGATCTCTAAAACATAGGACGAATTTGATTCAACCTGAGAAGTGTTCAACCTAATCTTGGTACTTCTGAACACCCAATTTATGTCGATTTTGGTAGATTGGAAATGATTGCCTTGGTTTCAGGTCTTATCCTATTAGTTAAAGTGAAGATTGAGAGTCGAGAGATAATTTCTGAACATTCAAGCAGGAAGATCAGAATGAATATTGTGAGAATGGGAGTTTTCACTTTGTTTATGCTAATATTTTGCATTATAACATTCGGATATCATCATTACCTCTTTGAAAACTCTGATCTATGGAAAATGAGCCTAGGAAATTATATATTGTGAGGAAACATCCTATAAATCGTTTTATTCGTTCTTAATCCCTATTTTGCATTTTTCGCAGATGCAAATTGACTAGTTTCAGTTCTGATTATACCCATTGCAAGCACACCTCACGGCCCAGTGTGGCCAAGTTACAGCTTCAGCTGATAGCCGTTTTCGGCTCTGGCGTTGCCATGGCCTCTTGGGTATGGTGTGGGGCCATGTTACACTCGTGGGGCAGATATTTCCGCAGGTAAGAAGTCTCTATCATCACTCACTATCACGATTTTCACACTCACAAAAAAAGGATAATGCAATCAATTTGTAAAAGAAAGATTTGAAAATAATGAATAGCAGCTCAGAATCAGCCAATGAAAATTGTATAATAATTTGAATTCAAGAACTTACAGTGATTGGTTTGACGTCACGGGCCAGCCGGCATGGCGTCACGAGTTGACGTTTATATGAGATATGATTCCATTGCCTCAAGTTTGAGTTATAATCAGTCATAGATAAGTGAAGTATTATACTTGCACGCCGAGGTGATTTTGAATTTTAGGTGTAACAATATTGAATTTGTATTGGATAGAAGAAAGGCTCAGATTTGCAAATAACTACTGTCCATTAATTAACAACCTGAATTGATTTAAGTACAATTTTAAATGATGCACAACTTATACTGATGAAGTAATCTAGATATTACTGAATAGCATAGAATATTCTCTCAAGAGTCTCAAGCATCTGTGAGTATAATAAAAGAAATGGGATGATGAACTGGAATATTATTAATAATCAAATCATAATCATGGGAACATAATTATAGTTCAGAATATTCTGCCAATAACCTTCGAACGTAACAAAAAAATATCCTCAATAATGTGAAATTTTTTATTCCCCAGGAATGTTCCAAGATTTTTTATATTAGATTATAAACTGGAATAATCCTCTCTGAATGTTTCCTTAATCACTCCAGAACAGGACAAACGAATAATCTTCAATAATGTGACATTTATTCTATCCATATTCCGAGATTATTGAAATGGCATGATATTTTAAATTATTCAAATATTTTTCCACTAGAAATTATTGTAATCAACCCTTTTCAAATGTAGTTCTTCGAATGCACCTCCAAATTTGTTAAAGCTGTCGACTTCTCAATAATGAAATAGTACCACAGCGACATATTGCAGAAATCAACTTTTATTGTACGAAATATGTGATGCGCAATGTTTTACAATAATGACCAGTATTTATTGTTCTGGTCGATTTATTTTCAAGAATTGCGGTGAAACGGGGTTCTTAGGGGGTTTGAAGAAAAAGACCGATTTTGTTGAGGTACCCACACCAGGTTTAATTTACGATTCCTACATCCACGGTAAATACAGCCAAGAGAAGTTTATAGTGGCACTACGCTTCTGCAAACTAATATATGATATATTCAGAACTGAGTCCGGCATAGCACGAAGACGTGCTTCATATCAAAAATAGTAAGACAAACTCACCTAATAAATACATTCGCGATTGACAAAATACCGGGAAGCCCGATAGTCGAATCTGGAACCGCTCCCATTCACTAATTACGCAGAGAATTTAGCAGTGATGATTAATTATTCGATTTTTAATTTATGATGCGCACTGATGGGCAACAATTTGTTGAAAAAGACCAACACTCGAAACAAGTCAAATGGTTTGGCGAGATTTTTTACCAAACTGGTATTCCAAGGTGCGATAGAAAGAGCGAAATTCGAAAATATTGGTACCTGTAAACTTATTTGAGTTATAATAATAATAATAATACTAGTGCATTGTTTATTAGGGATCTGTATGAAACATGGTATTTTTTCTGCAATCGAAATAATTGATATCTAATTAATAAAATTTAAGTGAAGTTACCAGTATTTTGACTCACTCGAGCAAGTTAGTGTCAAAGCAGCTATAATATCAGCTGTCATTTAGCTCCTAGACACTGAAAGTGTTGCCTAGCCTCATACATACTAATCATTTTATTGTGTCAGTGAGAGAAACTTCAACTTCAAGATCTACTTTTGGAACAAGATTGGACGACTTGATTCGATTGCAGAAAATGAATATTTATAATATCAACAAAAAGAGAAAAGAGATCGAGGACTGACATGACTAGCTCGTCTAATTCACCTTTAAATGATATCATATTAGTTTTTGTCAAATTCTTCACCAACTGATTTGAATCACACCATTTTTTTTATCTCAGACATGTCATCCTTGATAATTTCAAGAAGTTTTCCAGCATTTTCATCATGCAAGAAAATACTTGTATCCTCCGTAAACAGTGTTATTTTCCCTGATAATGTTAGCTCTTGGCAACTCATTTATGTAGGGTAAAGAAGTGTTGGTCCGAGTATCGACCCCTGAGGCATACCATATTCTACGGTTGACTCATCGGAGTATGTTGCGTTTTCACAATTTGCCTTCGACCTGACAGTTATGCCTCTATCCATTTATCATTCCGTGGTTCACACAGTCGAACGCCTTAAATAAGTCTCAGATCACTGCCGCCGTTACTTCACCTCGTTTTATCTCTGTGTATACGTCAAACAAATAAAACAAATCTGCATCATCTGTATTTTTTCCAGCTTGAAAGCCGAAATGAACATTCTAGATTATCTTATTTTTAACAAAAAATTCCGATAATCTAATCTTAACTAATCTCTCAATAATTTTCGCTAATGTAGGAATAAGAAAGATAGGTTTATAGTTTGATGGATTATCAAGGTCTGTGCAGAGGAATAACTAGATATTTTCAGGAAATCGGTTAATGTACTACCTTGGAAAGTTTTGTTCATTAGATTAAAAATGATATTGAGTGCATTTTCTGGAAGAGTTCGAAATATTCCCATAGAAATATCATCAATGCCTGAAGTAGTTTTATTTTTGAAAGATTTTATAACACTTCGCTCCATAAGTGTCAGTATCATAGAGTACTAGAGAATCATTTATAGAAGGACCTTGAAAATTAGCTAATGGATCGACTTGTGAATGTATGATCTCCGTTATTTTTCTAGATATAGAGCAATAATAATTATTCAGAATATTTGGTAATGATGATGTTTCCATGTTGGTTGCAGAAAATTTCACTGTGAAGTAGAAGAACCCATGAAACTGAAAAAACACAAGATCATCGCGCAGGCTTTCGCCCAACGAAAAAAATTCAACGAAGGAGGCAAAATTTCGATTTCTGAGAACCACACGGATCCGGTCGGTTTGAAGTTCGAGCTCAATAGCGCAGCTAGCAATGAACTGAGCATGTCTTGGGCGGCCAACCTGCCCCGATTGGTCAATAGAAGAGGGGCTGTGCCCAACGAGGTGGTTTATTCAGTGTCCAGCAAGGATCATTCGATGGACAGCGAGGTCAGCGTCAGTTTGCGACACGTCAGCATCGAGAGCAGGAGGAATTCAGGGGATAGTCAGGTTTCTGTGCAGATCGCCGAGTTGAAGGCTACGAGAAAGGTTAGTAGGCTTGTTTTTACATTCTTCTGATGCAATATCATAAGTATGTATCATTTCTCAGAGCTATTTTCCAGTAGGGTCCCTTGATGCAAACTGACGTCTTTGTCATCTAACAGGGTACGGACAAATCATTGCTCCTTTCTCTTTTAATCATCTAGTGACTTTGGTTTTTCATTTCATACTTTATCTTAATATGACATTATTCAATTCTGTTTTGTAAGGATGGTAAAATGTGCTGCGTTAGGCTGTATCAATCAGTTGGATGGCAAATCTGAATTTGTCAGCTTTCCATCAAATGCAAATGAACTTAGAACATGGAAAGTGAAGTGACCGAATGGGAAAAATTGGTAAATACATCAGCAAAATATTCGAGAGGTAAAACTAATATGAAATCACATATTATACTTTTTCATTGTGCCTATAATTATCCACTCCACATGTTTTCGAATGCATTTTAGTAGGAACAGTTTTGATACCCTACCAATTAAAAAACATGAATATACAGCACACATGACATATGAGCACATTAGTTTGAATACCTACATGAAATTTTTCATCATTTCTCAACCATAAGGCATAGTCTGAATGAAATCAGAATTCATTTATTGATAGGTACTGCCTAAGAACAGTCCCATTTGGTAAAATGTATTAAACTTTCAAAAAAATTTGCTCACTGCCTCCAATATGTAGAGTTGAATGAGAAATTACATGTGGAAATTACGTATGATCGTTGATTGATATATTACGCTAACGCTGGGAAGATGCCCAACCTTATGGGGCAAAACGAGGTCCAAAAAAATCTCACAACTAGATGGCGTACCATAGTTCGAAATCTCACATAGTGGGGGCGATATTGTCGAACGATGTCGGAGCAATACTTCGTAATTTGACTGGCAGGTGCGCCACTTACGAAGAGAATCTATTGGAATGCAGATGGCGTGTGACTTGGAACAATTAAACAATCCATAATCCAGAACGCTTGTATCAATCCACGATCAATCAGTACGATTCTAACTAATATGGCGGTAAATTCGAATTTGTTAGTAATAGTTGTACTGGATGTGCTTCTAACGAGCGCATCACGGACGTGAGATCATGAAAAAAGTTTATAGAAATCGAATTGGAGTGAATCACAAAATTTAATGTCTTAACAATAAATGCTTCCATTTTTGGCGATTGTGGAATAAACTGGTCAGCGGATATCAATATACAGGGTGTTCCACAGGTAAAGGGAAATATTTCAGTGGTACATAGGGGTCATCAAGGTGGTTCTGAAAATACCATATTTGATAGGTCTTAGAGTCTTCATAACGGAGATACAGGGCGATTTATCGATTTCGAGTAATTATTCATTCGTCTATAAGTATTGAACTACCCGGTATATTTTCCTCAAGTTTGGTATGGATCTTAAACTTGGCACGTTGAATTTAGTCATCTATCGTGCGGAACGAAAATCCAGGTTCGGCTTCAGGAAAAATTTACATTTATTCGAAATTTTAAAATAACACACTGTATGTAATAATTGACAGAGTTCATCAAAGGAATCGTGAAGAGGACGAAAAACTGAACTGGATTTGATGCTTTTGGTTTTCCCGCCACCAATTCTCGTCGTAACAATCATAAACAGAAAGCTAAAAGTATGTCAATTTGAAGAGTATGAAAATCATGAAACCACTTTCAATTATGATTATTTAAGGCGGGCCTTTCGCGACAGCTTTCCGACGGAATATAGCCTATATATATATACTAGTTCAACAACTATTTCCAGGTGTCAGTGTGATGTCGAAATCGGAATAAAATAATTAAATTACAGCTTTCACAGCTATTGTAGAGTTCTTCGATTTCGTCTGTTACAGCAGGTCACCAATAGGTGGCACACAATTGAATGCAATCGTAGGTAATTGTATTATGTACGTGCAGTGTTGCCAGAGCTACTGCTCCACGGGCCTGCTGAACATGATTCCACTTTTCACTCCATTCAAGTCAAGCAAATTCTCGCTACTCGCTACAATGAGGATTTATGTCATGAGTGATTTTTGAAACTGTCTTCACAAGTAGTCTTTCGAATATTTATTTTCCTTTTTAATTTCATTTCCTACTAATATAACTTATCATTATTGGCGTCACCAGAAAAACTTCCAAGGATGGGGATCGAAATCATTGTTCAGTGCAAAATAGTCTGTGTAATTCAGAAATAATGTGTGCAAGATTTTTTATCAAGTTCAGATGGCTATAAATAGAAATTTCGTGTTTTCTGTATAGGGTATATACGTAGACGATTGCCTAGTTTCAAATATCTTCATTCTTACGAATTCACACTGCTATTACTGATATAAGGGTTATATTGATATATACAGTGTGTAGAATGAAAGAAATCCTTGATTCAAATTTCATGTTCTCTAATTCAGACCTGCTTGCTGAAATACAAATTTCGATCATAATTGCACTTATGAAAAAAACAATTTTTTCGAAATGAGAACTTCTAGGCGCGTTGAGCACTTTTTTGTGTGGAGAAAAACATTGGATTTCGCGTCATCGTCACGACCCGTCCCGTGTCCCGTTATCGCGAGGTCAATGAATAGCAATAAATTTGAAGGGTGCAGTTTCGCATCTCATCTCATATTATGTAGTATTTTGTAATTATGATTAGATTCTATTCTAAATTGGTATATGGAAGTTTTCGGGGTCGGAGATTATGATTCTTTCGTGAAAATTAGGATATTGAAGATGGCTGACGAGTTTTATAATAATTATGATCCCATTCTATTCAAAATTGGTGTCTGGGGGTTCTCGGCGTCGGAGATTATGATTCTTTCATCATGGCTCCACCACCATGGCGCACGAGTTTCGTAATTATGATTCTATGCCATTTGAAATTTGTATCTGGGGTTTTTTGGGGTCGGAGATTATGAATCCCGAAATGAAAAATTCAAGATGACGGATTCAATATGGCGGACGAGTTATGTGATGATGATTCTATCCTATTCAAAATTTATATATAGGGGTGTTTGGGGTCGGAGATTATGATTCTATCGTCAAAATTGGGAAATTCAGGATTGCAGATCCAATATAGCGGACAAGTTTTCTAATTTTATTATCCGATTCTATTCAAAATTTTTACTGGTGTTTCAGGGGTCGGAGATTTTGAATCATTTGTCAAAATTAGGAGATTAGTTCAAGCGAACACCATCTCAAAAGTTTTTGTTAGTCTATCTTAGACAGCGAATTTTTTTAGGTAATAATAAAGTTTGTCGAGTTGATAAAAATTCTGTTTGATAGTGATAAAACAGTGTATAGTGTGAGTGTGATTATATCGTACCAAAGTTTCCAGGATTCCCTGGTTTCGGTCTTCAACATAACGGTGAGAAATTGATTTGCCATCATATGCTTTCTATATCTCACAATCCATTTTGTTTTAATGGTCAACTTTTTTTAAATCATTTGAAAATCGAATTATAATGAAAAAAATATAAGAAAATTATGTTCATGCTGATTTAAAACTTACAAAGTTATTGTATGAGGAATTTCAAAATAAAATATTTTCCTTGTACACCCTGTTTCTCCAAAACTAACAGCATTTTCTATGTGAGATGTGAGATGTGAGGCTGAATCTTCATATTCTTATGTTCTTATTTCTAGCTCACACATTGACCATTGTGAATGAATAACCCTGTATATATTTCAAAGAAAATTTTAATATCACGGAATTCATTGAATTTCAAAAATCTTCCCCAAGAAGATGTAAGTGGAATATGAAGTATCTACCTACGATAATTCTCTAAAACATGAACTGGATGTTCGATAACGTCTCCAAATGTCTCGAAAAAAAAGCGGCTGCTATATTTTCAAATATTTCGTATGTGGCTGACTTTCCCGTTGCCTCGCCTTTCTGCCCATTCTTATGAATTTTTGCGACATATCATTTGCAGCAGCTTGCAACACTGGCTTTTCAATTATTGATTATATCCCGGTTAGTTTGAAGTTCATCTGAAGTTCATGCAATTCAAAGTGGCACGTGGCGACTGCGGAAAGACGGAGAATCACCGCGCGACCAATGAATATCCCCCGGTTCGCCGCGGGAGGGAGAGAGACATATAACGATTTCTCGCTCAGTTTTGTTTTGTTGCCGTGGCGGTATTATCCTTTGTGAACATCGCCATATCAATGGATCCAAAATCTGATAACTGTACTCTGAGACGAATTTTTTTGCATGAGTTTTAGAGTGAAATAACCTGAACTTTTGACACAGATTAACAAAGCTTTTTGAAGTTTGTTCCACAACTGTGCCATTCCTATTATTTCCATCTATATGCTGACATAATTATCGATCTCATGAATAGAATTGAAGAAATTTTGCTGAATTTGTATTAGTAGAAGATCCGAACCTAAATCGACCTTCACCGAGCTGATAATAGAACGAAATATATTTCATCATGAATTTAGTATATTAGAAAACATATTAAAAATGGGTTGTCTAAAAAAATCCTGGGCAGATTATTTTTAATTATTTTTCGAAAAATTATTTTTAATTGAATGTTGCAACATCAGGATAATAAAACAATTGTGTCCTGACTGAAAGTATAAAACGTATAGAATGTGCAGCCGTTGGGTTGTCTACTATTTACCTGGGCGAACTACTGGGTTGTCAGGTAAACACAGGTATATCGATGCCAGTTACTTTCACTGGATTGGATAATTTAAAAAAATTTATATCATCATAAGCGCTGTTTAATTGCGAACACGTTGATATAGGGTTGTCTGCGAAAATTCCGGTCCTATTAGGGGTTTGCGAATTTTAAAGATTTTAATTTCAACGCGCGTGGAAGTGTGTGACAGAGAGATCCGAGGTAAGTATACTGTGTAATAATAAAGGACCCAACATCGCAGTCGCTTGTGATGGGACCCTGAATAGTAGAAAGTGCGCATGCTCGGTGTGTAAACTATGCGTGTTATTTTGGAGCAACTGATATTTCAGTAGCAAAAAAAAATAATTAATTAAT